CCTAATATAAAGGTTTAAGACATATATGTAAAATTATATTTTAATATAAAAGATAAATTAAAAGTGTTGAAAACTGTAAAGTTAGTATATACTACTGTTGCAGATTTCATGGAAATCAATTGTGTATCGGGAGTTGCAGTTGCAGAGTTGGTTTGAATTTGTTTCTTGGTGGGTTTTGCAATAACCTAAATAAGTTAAAGTCCCAAGTGAAAAAACAGAAATTAGTACCAAAAAAAGTATATCAATGATGATCTTATAAGATGATAACATACTGGTGTTACGGGTTCTGATGGTTCCTTGGTTTTGAGACTAACAGGAGTTGTTTCACTGCTTTCAACAATATTGTCACTTGAAATACCCTAGCAAATATAAAGAAACATGGAAAATGTCTAAAAGAAATGCAATTTACAAGTAACATTGAAAATACATGTTGTTAATAAGATTACTTACAACTGTATGAGACAGATTTGGAAAGTCAGCTCCTTTTGCATTAAGATGAGCCGAAACTAGCTTTAGTGTTTGATCTTGTTCATTAACCTTTGTAGACAAAGCCTTGAGTTCATCATCTTTTTTCTCAAGCTCAAGTTTTCCATTATGTAGTGCAACTTTAAGATCTTTAATTTCTTCCTTAGATGATCCTTTGCTGCGAGGAACATTGAAATATCTGTTGTAAGTGACTCCTGTGCCGACAGCCTTTAAGAATCCTCCTTTTTCCTTGCCAAAAACTAAGGTCATGGCATCCGTGCCTGGTTCAACATTTACTTGTCCTTCTTTTATCTGCTTTTCTTGTTCCATCTAGCACACAAAATATTAATAATTATTGTCCTAATAAAACTAATTAAAATCTTTACAATAATAGCAATAAAAAAGTTTATTGAAGTTACTAGTTTATCCGCCATGAGTTTAACATCTTCATCCTTAAATTCTCCTTTACTTTCACGTCCTTTACACCACATAATTGACCTTGGGGGCATTTCTTCATTTGAAATCACTTTCTCTTCAATCTTGATAAAAAAAAATTAAATTGTAAACAATATAAAGTAAAATTCTGTTAAGTACAATGCTATGAAGGTAATATAATGGATCATATAGCTAAAAACAAAGCTTACCAACTTCCGCCTAAGAGTAGTATACCCCCCTCGTCCCATCCGATGAGCATACTTTGACATCTTTCGCGCTTTGATAGTCTTTTGTGACACAACCTGTCAAAAAAAAAAAAGATTTGTCAAGCACTTTTTGGTAATTTTATGATAAATAAATGAAGAAGTTTTAGGAAAAAGTTGTAACATTAAACTCTTCAGAATGCGTATATGTCACGAATTTGTTCCAATCATCTTTTTCAGTAATTATTGCACGATATCGAACAGAGATTTCTCCAAGCTTTTTGGAATTGCCTAGATGTGGCTTGATGTAAGTTGTATACAATTTTCTTCTGAAGTTTCGTAGAAGGATACCAAGCCTATTCATCACAAATTGTTTTCCAGTTTCATCAACTTCAAAATAGCGCTAAAATGAAACAATAATGAATTTGTTAGTATTTAATACATGATTTGTAAATAAAATATGAGATGCAGTTAAAAAAAGTGAAAAAAATATTTACTGTAATCTCTTCCCAAAGTTTGTCCTTCACTTCCGGTTTTACTTTCTTCCAGCAAAGAGCACTTAATACCACCTTCTCGCGGACAAGATCTCCCAAATAACTAACAAACACTGCATTTTCTTCCCTATAAACTTACCGAATTCATCAAACTTGAGACATTTTTTTCTACCACCAGAATTGACATACTCGGTCTTCAGCTTTGGCAATCGAGTCAGGCCCCTCTTCCTAGGTGACCTTGTAGGAACTGTGCTTTGGATTTCTTCTTCCGAATCTGAATGGCTATTGTAGTCAATGTCCTTATTTTCACCATCTTCTGTGTCCGATTCATAAACTTGGGTTCCATCATCTTGCTCATATTCCATATCATAGTCGGGCATATCCTCATGTTGTTCCTTGTTCACCTCCATGATTCTTCTGTTGACATGAAACATATGAAATAAGTTTGATAGTTTATATGTTTAATAAAAAGGTATGACTAACTTATATTACATACAAAATTTCACGTACACATTTCATCGAACATTTGGTGTGCAACAAGCACAGTAATATGAATAATCAAAAAACTTCTGTTTTATGTATAATCCCCCAATCAATACAATCAATAACATTGACATCATACACAGAGAATATACTTACAGTAGAAATGTGTGATGAATGTTGTCGAATGATGAACTGAAATATAATCCAACTGGGATATAACCTAGAGAAAAACCATACAATGGTTGAAAAAATCAAAGTCTTTTAAATAATACATTGTTAGTACGTCCTAAATTGAGGATGGTAACCAAAATTACCGGAATTTCCTTGATCTGATGGATTGATCTTCATAGTTTTGGCGGTGAGATAGATGAATAATTCTCGCCTTGATTTGGAGCCCAAAACAAAATGGAAAAAATGTTTGCCTCCCATTATATTTGTTTAATTTTGATTGACGAATTCAAAATTTTCCCAAATTTTGATCTGATAGTGAACCCACACGACGAGAAGCATAAATCGTGGTTTGGAAACATGTTCTGGCTTTTGAAACATTATTACGAGTTACTTGATATTAATAGAAATGTTACAAATTTGGTCCTTGTAAATTAACAATTTTACGTTAGGATACAACTATATCACTATTGGAAATAAAAAATATTTAACATTTAATTATGTATATACAATGGGAAAATAGTATAATAAAATGAAAATAAGAATAAGGTCTAGTTAGCTTACTAATTTTTCCGTGTGAACACTTTGTTAAGATTTTTTATTTTATTTTATATTAAGTAAATACAACATAAACATTGTCCAACCCGTACCAACACATACACCTACCCCTAAATAACACCCATAAAACCCCATCATTGGTCCTAAACCCCATACCAACACCCCTACATGTCATTGTAACGATCAAACCGTACCACCAACCGACCACATGGGACCCATCCACCTACTATAAACCCATTTCGGTCCTAAACCCGTACCAACACCCTTACATGACATTGTAACGATCAACCCGTACCACCAACCGACAACATGGGACCCGTACACCTACTATAAACCCATTTCGGTCCTAAACCCGTACCAACACCCCTACATGACATTGTAACGATCAACCCGTACCACCAACCGACCACATGGGACCCATACACCTACTATAAACCCATTTCGGTCCTAAACCCGTACCAACACCCTTACATGACATTGTAACGATCAACCCGTACCACCAACCGACCACATGGGACCCGTACACCTACTATAAACCCATTTCGGTCCTAAAACCGTACCAACACCCCTACATGACATTGTAACGATCAACCCGTACCACCAACCGACCACATGGGACCCGTCCACCTACTATAAACCCATTTCGGTCCTAAACCCGTACCAACACCCCTACATGACATTGTAACGATCAACCCGTACCACCAACCGACCACATGGGACCCGTACACCTACTATAAACCCATTTCGATCCTAAACCCATACCAACACCCCTATATGACATTGTAACGATCAACCCGTACCACCAACCGACCACATGGGACCCGTACACCTACTATAAATCCATTTCGGTCCTAAACCCGTACCAACACCCCTACATGACATTGTAACGATCAACCCGTACCACCAACCGACCATATGGGACCCGTACACCTACTATAAACCCATTTCGGTCCTAAACCCGTACCAACACCCCTACATGACATTGTAACGATCAACCCGTACCACCAACCGACAACATGGGACCCGTACGCCTACTATAAACTCATTTCGGTCCTAAACCCGTACCAAAACCCCTACATGACATTGTAACGATGAACCCGTACCACCAACCGACCACATGGGACCCGTACACCTACTATAAACCCATTTCGGTACTAAACCCGTACCAACACCCTTACATGACATTGCAACGATCAACCCGTACCACCAACCGACCACATGGGACCCGTACACCTACTATAAACCCATTTCCGTCCTAAACCCGTACCAACACCCCTACATGACATTGTAACGATCAACCCGTACCACCAACCGACCACATGGGACTCGTCCACCTACGATAAACCCATTTCAGTCCTAAACCCGTACCAACACCCCTACATGACATTGTAACGATTAACCCGTATCACCAACCGACGACATGGGACCCGTACACCTACTATAAACCCATTTCGGTCCTAAACCCGTACCAACACCCTACATGACATTGTAACGATCAACCCGTACCACCAACCGACCACATGGGACCCGTCCACCTACTATAAACCCATTTCAGTCCTAAACCCGTACCAACACCCCTACCTGACATTGTAACGATCAACCCGTACCACCAACCGACCACCTGGGACCCGCCCACCTACTATAAACCCATTTCGGTCCTAAATCCGTACCAACACCCCTACATGACATTGTAACGATCAACCCGTACCACCAACCGACCACATGGGACCCGTACACCTACTATAAACCCATTTCGGTCCTAAACCCGTACCAACACCCCTACCTGACATTGTAACGATCAACCCGTACCACCAACCGACCACATGGGACCCGTACCCTATTAATTAAAAATATGATTTTATATATTTCTAATTAATTTATATTTTGTATGGTATTAATAAAAACAAAGCAAGTATGGATATTACACTTAATTAATATTATATATATTAATGTAAATATTATATTAATGTATAACACTATATTGGTAATCATTATCACAGACGTCATTCAAGTTGTACCTCCCCTGTAACCGCCTAGTAATCGGAAGTGATGGTCTGCGTCGATGTCCCTTTAGTTCCGAATGATAATCCATTTAAACCCTCCCCTTATATCAAAATCATCATTCTTACATCTTCATTACCAACATACGATAAGTTCGATTTGCTCCTCCTCTGTGAAAAAAATCCGACGATCAATGGAAAGAAAGATGAATGCTGATCCATGGGCAAATTCGAGGTTCCAACTCTGGAGTGTAAGCAGTGAACCACCAAAAAACACACCATTAGTAGAGTATGGGAAAGCAAATGATAGGAGATTCACCATTAGAGTTGTTCATGACGGGTATTTTACAGACTATCTAGGTAAGTCGTATGAAAAGACAAAAGTTCACTTTATTACTTTTGTCAACATCGATTTGCTCAAGATGGAAATGCTTGGTCGTTTTTCCAAAAGCTTGGGTTATACAACCATGGGTAATTGTATCATATGCCAATTGAAGAAAATTGTGGTTTGACCATGATTCCAATTTTGAACAATGACTGTTTGGGAACTTTCAAAATGATCATTAGGGCACACCAATTCCGAGAGATTGAACATCTGTATGTTGAACACAGGCTTGTATATGTTCCAATCATTTTCCCCCACTTCTTGATGAACTCACCATCCAAAAGAGTTGAGAAGCTTATTCATATGTTTGTAACAGAACACCCAATGGCAACAGTTGATGATGGAATAACATACATCAAGCATATGCCAAACATGACCATTCCGAGAGGAAAGATGGAAGATGCAATGGACATGGCCAAGGAGAATGTCATTGCATGGCAAAACTTAGTGTAGGCAACCTTTATCTTTTTTTTTGATGAAGTAATATATTTCATGTTTAAGACAAAGTATATATGTTGTGTATATTGGATGGAATAGAACATCCTATTTTGTAAGCACTTTGAAAGTATTTTTTTTGTTTAATGTTATATATAATATGTCTATATGCTTTATGTTAATGGTTGTGTTGATTCTAACTGTCAAAGGGGAAAAATGGGAATTAATAAAAAAATATGAATTTTCCATTGTAATATTGAGTGTATTTCATATGTATCAGAAAATTATTATCGTAAATTGCATTTTTATAGTAGAAACTTTGAAACTTTGTTTTGTTTAATGTTATATATAAAGCAATGTACTTTCAATATTATGGATCGTCTGAATCCTTTTCGTCAAATGTAATTTATTTGTAATTTCAATCATTTCTTATGTGGAAGCAGGGGTATTTTCGTCAAATGTAATTTATTTGTAATTTCAATCATTTCTTATGTGGAAGTAGGGGTATTTTCGTTTAGTGTTTATCTTTTGAAAAGCTAGATTTTTTACAGTAGTATATTCACAGTTTCATATGTTTCATTTGATTTGACAAAACAACAATTTGTCTTTTTTTCTTATTCAAACATTGTACTTTACCTTCTATTGAAAAGCACATGTTGGGCTTTAAAAGACTCTTGAAACACAAGATTAATGACACCAGGTTTGATTTTAAATTACACTGGGTCTGAATTGAAAATGACCCCTCTGCCCTTGGTTTCATTTTTTTATGCTTATAATTGTGTTGGTTTAACAACCCACTTTACAGTTACTCCAATTTTATAGATAAATTCTATCAATGTATTGTAATTTCAATTTGTAAGTTAAGAAATTAATTTCATGTACACCTTGTACTTTATATATTGGCAGGGGTATTTTTTCAAAATTTTCACTTTATTATTGCTTTATTACTAATATTATTTATTTGTAATTTCAATCATATCTTATGTGGAAGCAGGGGTATTTTCATCAATTATTTGGTATTATCATAAATCAAAGAAAATGTTATAATTTTCCATTTGAGGATGCTTTTGTGTCTGCAGGGTTATAGTATCTTTAATTATGTTAATGGAAAAGTTATACCACTCCAAACTACTGTTAGAAATTAATGAACACTGTTAAAACTGTGTTTGAGATGTAAGGGTAAAATGGTCATTCAGTATAGAAAATGAAAAGAAAAATGAAACAGCACCTAAGGGTATGCATCATCAAACACATAGAAATGATAAAAAAAATAAGTTAATCTTGGATACATATATGATGTTCATAACTAAAATTAAACAAAATGAGTGTGAGGGAATCAGGGGTATTTTTGTCATTTGTTTTTATTTCCAATTGTGAAGGCTAATTAAAAACAATGTGCAACCACAATTACATTTATTTTATCAAATGAAGAAAGTATGAATGATTCTACATGTGTTTGTGTTAGATCGCTTCATTAAGAAGCAGATGTATTTTCGTCAAATGTTTCTCTTTTAAATCATTGTTTTGTTTTTTAGTAACCTAATAACTTACAAAGAACCAGTCACCTTAGTTTGTCAGTGTACACGTAGTTAATGGTATATTTTGAAATAACATGGGTTCGAACCCCACTAGTAACAATTTTTTTTAATGTACATAACTTTTTAAATATGTCAGACGGTAAAACAATCATTAAGCAAATATCTCTTTTTTTTGTTTCTCGATATCTCCTTGATCATCCACACCCATTACGTAAATATGAATTTTGAGACAATATGAATTCCCATCGTAACAGTATCTGCTTAATACAAATGCATTGCAACTACGTTTACACTTCAACCAGAAATTAATACTTCAACCTAAAATTCATACAGGTACACATACAACATTAAATTCTACAGGGACATAAAAAACAATTATCCTCATAATATGAATCTTTGCTATTTCGTTTGGTCATGATGTGTATCATTATATATTCTAGAATTAACAAGTATTTGGTTTCCATTTATTTTTTATTTGTAATGTGATCTTTTTCGTTTATGCACACCAACTGTTTGTTAAAATACTTCAATGAACAGGAAACATATATTACTTGTTGATGCTGTTGTAATTAAACTGAATATGGATAAGTCTTGGATGGGAGCCTACAGAACATCAGAAACGTATGTAAAGGGTGTTGCAGAATTTTTGAAATTTGCAGTACACAATTACAAGATTTATAAGAATATGAATCCTGTAGATACCAAAAAAAGATAAGAATTCCATGTCCGTGTGTCAAGTGTGTAAACCACATATCTCATTCGGTGGATGTGGTAGATGATCACCTATTCAGGAATGAAATTGATCAAACATACACGAATTGGAATAAGCATGGAGAAACAGAGGAACCACCTAGAAATTATATATATGAACAGAGTTTTGACATGGACACGTCATACGTTGTTGATTCCACGGACATGAATACAGAAATGCCAGCAGATGCTGCAGAAACAGTAGAGATGGTTGAAGCTGTAGAAGAAAATTTTATGGGGAACCCTGAGAAATTTAGAGAACTGATAGAAGATGCCGAGAAGCCCCTATATAAAGGGTGTCCTAATTACACAAAGTTATCTGCAATCATACAACTACTCAACTTGAAGAGTAAGTATGGAGTATCAGATAAGTGCTTTAAAGAATTATTAGTTTTGATAAAAAATATGTTACCAGAAGGAAACGAAATGTACAGTAGTACATACGAGGCCAAAAAAGCATTCAAAGCAATGGGTTCAGGGTATACGAAGATACATGCATGTGTCAACAACTGTATACTTTACATAAATGAATACACAGACATGGCAGCATGTCCAATAGAAATCAAATTAGTGCTTGTTACCTAGTCCAATTTAGAAAACAATTACGGATTTTGCAATTAGATAACTTGAATGATCTAACCCTAATTCAAATGGCCAATAAGAATCACAATTAGACATTCGATTGAGACAAAATCAAATTCACTAGATAGAAAATTGAAAGCAAACATCAAGTCATATGATTGAAATCACATCCAAATGTCAAGACATAAAGTTGGAGAATCTAGTTTCTAGCCACCCATCACTAGAACAAACACAAACCTAGAAATTGAAATTAAAGTCTTACAAATTAAAATCCAAGTGAAATTCAAGTGTTTTCAAGTAACAATTGTCTTCAAAAAGCTCCCAAAATCGCCTCCTAGAACTCCCCAAAACGATCCCCCCACCTTTGGAACCGGTTACCTTCTTTAAATTAGAATAAAACTGCTTTAAAAACTGGCGACACGTTTACACGGCCCGTGTAAACTATAATTGACCATTTACACGACCGTGTAAATACAAAAAGTAAATTGCTCAAATCTGCCAGGCCTTCGAAGTACATTGCTCACGAGTATGCGTTTACACAGCCCGTGTAAACTATAGGCTTCCATTTACACGGCCGTGTAAATCTCTGAAAAGCTAAAATCTTCATTTTCCTCTTATCTCTCTCCTCAATGATCCGCAAGTCCTGAAATTTTTCCCTCAACTCTTTTTAACCTCCTAAAGCAAGATCCAACCTCCAAAAGTCCCTGAAATATCATAAAAGTGTGTGAATGGAATTGCATCATGAAAAATCCCGAAAAATATGCAAAATGCATGAGTTTAAACCTGAATGCAATGCACTTTTATGGATTAAAACTACAAAATGGATGCATGAAATTCACCTTACAAATCTCCCCAAGCTTGAATCTTTCTTGTCCTCAAGAAAGAATAAGAAAAATTTAAACAGGGGAAAATGGAATAAAGGAGAAGAAAAGAAAATCAAAGTCAAAACTTTTTGAAATCTATGCATGAAATTAAAACAAACATGATAAAGATCCAACCCAATTAACCCTGTTTTGTACCATTTTTGAGAATGTACCTGTTGTGTCTTGAGTCAACTTAGCTTTAGTCTCAAAATATTATATAACAATAGAAACAAGACTTAACCACTCCCTAATGCAACTCAACAGAATCAAAGATCACAACACTTGTTCCCTCTCAATATCAACAAGTCAATTCATGGAACAAATTATGGTATTACTCTCGTAAAATTGTATGTGACAAAACATGCTCAATCATCTTTGTTTCACAAAATATATCAATGCCCGATTCCAGTTGTTTGTTGGTCAACAACAATCTTTTTCTAAAAAATCTTTTCTAAAAATTCCCTAATATTTACCCAGATTGGTTACAAATTTCAAACCACTTACTCCAGTCAAAGTGATTAACATTCAGTCCCAATGTCATAAGTTCAAATTCAAGTCCAAGGGAATCTTTTGGCAGCCAAATATTTTTCCTAGATATATTATTCAATAAAGATATAACACAAATATATACAAACTTCATAATTACATTTTCCTACAAATAAAGCTCATGGCTTTCTTTGAAATCCGTGTAACGGGTTTCCAACCAACACATCCAAATCAAATGACCTTAGTGTGCTAGATTTAAAGCGATCCCTCGGGTTTACTTGCTCGAACCTCAATGGCCATAGATTAGCTTTATTTGCTATTATTAAGTTCATGACTTTCTATAGAACCTGTGTAGCGAACTTTCAACCCAATGAGTCCCAAACAATTTAGCTTTAGGCGATTAGGTGTAAAACACCCCTCAGAGTTTACTTGTTCGAGTCCCAAAGGTCACAGATTAACTTAATAACAATTATTATTATTATTATTATTATTATTATTATTATTATTATTATTATTATTAATTTTTTTTTATTTTTTTATTATTATTATTATTATTATTATTTTTTAAGATATAATCACTAACTAAGATAACACATAACACTCTAGTTAATTTATTTGTTTGGCCTATTTCTTTATATTTTCATTCTTGACTTTTTTCTATGGTGGGACATCTCATAGTCTATTACCGTGAGGGGCTTCTAGACATTTTTCGGGGGACTGAAGTTAACATGCAAAGACCCGTAGGTATAGTCTGAAACTGTGTCCCCAAGCAAGGTATATAAAAGGGAATGAGCAGAAA